GCTCAGGGCCAAAATCTGCCTTCAGTACATACAGTTTGAATTGAAATCCTGAATAATACACATACCTACTAGGAAAAAGGAGTTGATTGTCTATTTTGGTAAATGTCTGATTACATTTAAAACAGTCTGTATTATTTTTATCCCTCATGCATTGTGAAGAACAGTGGTTTAAAAGTATCATTTCAATTTTTTATAGAAACAGCAACTATCTAGCAGGGATATTACAATGTGAAGATTAGGTCTCACCTCCTTGTTACCAGTAAATTGAGACCAAAATTAAGTGAGTTGCCAGGGTCACCCAATCAGTTAGTGGCAAAGGCAAGTTTAGAAATCAGACTCCATATATATTTTTCGCTAATGAACCTAGTTAACCCAGGATTGAGAATGAGGGGAAAAATAATTTGAAACCATGTGAAGCTCTAGGTAATTACTATGCCACAGGAGAAATGCCATTTAAAGCCTGTTTTGTCATTCCTAAATCTTAAGGTGTTTTTTAATTTTGCCATGCATGTGCCAATGGACAATTTGTACACTTAATGCAAACTGAAAACCCAGGCAGCTTACCCAAATTATGGCAGTTTTAATATAAAAAAAAATAGGCAAAAAAGTGCTTTTGATAGCAAAACAATGGGTAGTAGCAAAACAAATAGAGGACAGTTGTAAGACAAGAGCAGTAAAAAGGAAGAAACCTTTGGAAGCAGCAATAACAAGTGACACTAGATGCAAAATCTTACAAGTTCCAGGTGATTTGAGTTATGGTCCGAGTCAGCCTCATCTTAACATTGGAGTTATGTGATCTGGCATTGCTAGGCCAGTAGTGAGACCTGGGTCTCCCCTCCTCACTTGGGGCCTCGTCCCAAATCTCAAGAAGTGATGAAAATTGATTCCAAGTAGTTGGATTGGATCCCTTTGAAAGTATAATGTTATTTCATTAACCTCACTGCACTTCTGCATTTCTACTTATTCTCATTTTCTGTTCTTTCCCCTTCTGCCTTTTTCCTTCCACTCATCTATTAAACTTAACCTTCAAGTTTTTGTTTAGTAAACCTACCAAAGCAGAATCAATAGCATGGTGCATAATCGTATTTTCTGCTGCTCAAAATGTCAGGTTTGGGTTTGTTTGTAGAAGATTTTTTGCATGTCCTTCATTTTTTAGCCCTGTTCAGGATGTTCTATACCAGCCAAATACATTCAGAGTGAATACGCTTGCTGCTGAAGATTGTTCTAATCTCCTTTTTTGTATATGTGGTATAAGTTGAAAATGTCCTCTTAAATTTTCTAGTGCTTTTCTTCTCAGTGAAATGAGCAAGGATCAGTTTTATAATCCGTCGAGGTAACTGGGTCATAGTCTTGTCTACGTGTAAGCAGATGAGAAGGGGGTAAGTTGAAGCATTCTCCTGCCACAGAGGAAAGGCTAAGTATAATACAGAATGATATTAGACAACTGTGGGCATTATGCAGAAATGAAATTCTTGACACTTTGGGGGAAAAATAGTCTAAGGGAGTGTAGCTCAGTGCCTCAGCTCTGCTAAGATGCTGTCAAGAAACTATTTGTTCTTTCCCATAGTAAAATGTGCTTAAGTTTGTTGGCCTCTCAAGTTTCAGGAGGAGAGGAAAGAAAAAAAAAACAGTATATGGAGAGTCTAGAGCTCATAGTCTTGTGTGAAGGAGTGTATGAAGGTGGCTCTTGACTGATCTCTTGATCCTTGGACAAAACTGAGGAGAAAGTCTAACGAATGCATCGTTTTGCAGTAAATTAGATCAGATTTCCGCATCTCCGCACTCAGTCTGCGAGCTGACAGTTCAGTAAAATGTTCCCTTGTAAGGTTCGCCCTCTTAGGAAAAGGGGCAATAATTCATCATTAGAATTTCAGAGTCCAGGTGTAGATGAAAACTGATGGAGCCTCCAGCGAGGCAGGGAAAGTGCACAGAAGAAGAAAATTTTATCTGAAGCCTAATTCCCTGGTTACAGCAGAGAATAATTAAGATAATATTGCTTCAAGAGTTCTTTAATGATTAAAAATCACATATGCAGAATCCATAAATTGGAGGGCAACAAATTGGAAGGATACAGCGCCGGGGCTGTGTTTGGCGCGCGCTGCGCAGAGAAGCGCACGGGCGGCACAACAGCAGCCCCGGCAGCCACAGGAGACCAGGCCCGTTCCAAGGACTTTGTTTAGATGCAACAAATCATTTGTCTGTTATTAACCCAGAGCTTGTAATTATGCAGATTGCCATAGATTTTCCTGGGCCTGGAAGTGAGATTGAGGGTTGTTCACACTATAGCAGGCAGCTCAGGGCTGGCCATGCATTACTGAACTTGCCACATTTATCATGTTGACTGATGGCAGCAGAAGCAGGTCTCAGGTCCCAGTGGTTAATGTAGTGGGTAATTAACTGTCATTTGCCTAGTAATAGGCTGATGATCAATGGTTTGTGTGGAAACAAATTCTAATCAGGTAGCTGATAAATGCTCAGGGAGCAAGAGCAATTGAAATTGGGGGAAACTATGTCCAGAATTTCAAAATGGCATTGTGGGTTTTTTATTATTATTATTAATGGGAGAAAACTATGTTCTTCATATAAACAGCTTTATCCAAAATTAACGATAGCTAATATAAATCTCATGTGTTTGTTTGGTGTGTGGTGGGGGAAAACTAACGGCAAGGAAGGCCTCCTTTCTTTTACATAATTGAAAAAAATTAATATATCCGATACTTAACTGGAACAGCCTCTGTGGGGGTCTCTTCCTTGAGAGCAGCATGGAAACCCACACGGAGCGGGCTCCAGCGCCATAAATCTCCACCCTTTGCGACGCTGAATGACAGACCCAAATTGTTTCACCGCTCGGCAACGTGTAAATCGCGGTCCCTGCTGTAATGGGTTTCCACTTTCACATCCACCCATACACACCAGCACACAGAGACACAGCTCTGTAGAGTGGTGGTCCTGCACCTACCACCCTCTCAACCAGGGCCTCAGCTCAGTCTCAAGGATGACGGAGCTGTTGCACTAAACCATCTATCCATTGAACTGCAGGCTGATCTCCTGCTGTGCTTGAAGATGATGGGGCAATTTGCATGTTTATGCTCAAATGGTGCCGTTGCAGACCTTAAAACTTAACTTTCCTCCTTAAAATCTAACTTTCCTGTTGGTATAACTATACAGTATGTATAACTACTATTTGCCTGTAGTCCTTACTGCCTACCTTTTGCAGCCTGAACTGTGTTCCTTCTACATCTAAACTACCATCATCTTCAAAGCAGATAGGAAGAAATAACACCCAGGCCTTTGGTTTAGTCTTTTTTGATGGGAAACTAACCAACAGCTACAAAAGGCAACTAAGTTTTGTGTCCTTTTTAATGAAGAGGAATCAGAATCTGAGTGGACTCAAGATAACCTTGGTGCAACTCATGCAGGAAGGCTGTGATGGAGATAGGAATGGACTCTTTTGGAAAGTGAATATATATTTTCTGTATAGAATCTGTAATTTTAGTAAATCAGACTTCACAGAAATAGACGTTGGCTTGAGTAATCCTAACAGGAGCTGATGACTGCAGCCTTTCCCAGAACTTCTCCCAATAATCATGGTAACCAGCATGCCAGTCAGTCAGCAGAAAATGGTTTATAACTTTAAAAATAAACAAGCACGTATTATGCAGGAAGTACATCTTAAGTAGAACCAGAAAGTAAAAGGATTTGGAATTAAGTAGGCTTGTGGGGAACTCATGAAATTCAGTAAAATGGAGGGATGTGATTAAAAAAACTGCATTCATTTTTATGTTACCAAACTGAATTTTCTACAGAGCACCTTTGAATTCATTAGTTTAGAACTGCTTTTAATTTGGTGTTTCCCTTGAGAGCCATTATATTTTTCTGCTGTCAGCCTGATGTTGAGGAAAAAAAGAAAACTGGCAGATGTGGTGTTTTCATCTAGTGTGCTTCATAGTTAAAAACAGCATTAACTGCTATGCACAAGCACAGCATTACTTTTAATAACCCATCACAACTATTAAGTAGTTTATTTAAACTTAGTTTCAAAGATTGCTGCCATGTAGAGCTAACACATTTTTTCTTGTTCATTATAATCCTTCTTTGTTACAAAAGGATGCGTGTGATTTTCTTTTCTTTCTTTCTTTTTTTTTTTTTTTTGTAATACACCCACCCACTTGAAAAGTATTGAAAAATCTTTAACAAAGAGAATTTTAAAAAAATTTATATAGATATCTGGCAAAACTAGCATTTCATATTGCTCTTTCAGTATTTTATACTTCTACTCCTGATGTGACTATATATAGTTTACAGCCTCATTTCCTTTAATGTGCTACCTGAATAACATAATCATAGCAATAACTATGGTATAGGGTTGTAAGGTGCATGAACCGCTAATGCTTTCTGACGATTTAAATGACTTGTTCATAAAATGTTCTTTTAATAATAGTGGTAAAGCTTTTAGCACTAGATGTCAAAAATGCGAAGAATATTGGCTTTTTCAAGTGTTACTTCTTTTCTAGCTAAAGTGTGTTTTAATAATAAATAGCACCAAAAGCCAAGGTTATGTGACGCTCGTATTTATGGCACGATACAAGTAGAAGATTCTTGCTGCGTATTCGAACAGCTTGACCTCTGTCTGCACAGTTATGTAACATTCCTAATGTGTTTGCTGTTTCTTTGTTTAGTTAAACAAAATGTTTCTTTTATCCAGAAAGGTCAGTATAACCTGCATAAAACCAACATGAAAATAGGTGCAATATTAGGCTGTCACTGTTTTATAAAGCTTTCCATGGCAAAAGCTATGACAGCTTATACTGTAGATTGGGTAGACTTCTACCACCAAAAAATCAGCCTTTCAAAGGCTGAGTTGCTGGGAAGTGAAACAAACAAACAAACAAAAAAAAAAAAACCCACAATTGTTGAAAAATCCCAGATAAAAAAATGGAAGTGGGATATTTCTTTACAGTTAAGCATCTTCAGGAGTATTTTTCTTTCTGTATCTTCAGGTTATTTGGAGTCACAGGAAACTGTGCTGCCTGCAGTAAGCTCATACCTGCATTTGAGATGGTGATGAGAGCTAAGGACAACGTTTATCACCTGGACTGTTTTGCATGTCAACTTTGTAATCAGAGGTAAGGCAATTTCTTGGGCTTGGTTCATAAGCTAAGTGCTCATTTGGCACTGGTGTGTGCACACATTTAAGCATGGAAAGAGAAAGAGAAGAGGAAAGAGTTACCTAGCAGAGGAAGCCTGAGAGTGGGACCTGGATTCCTTTCCTGGGACTGAGACAGAACATCCTTTATGACCTTGGCCAAAACACTTAAAACTTTTTGTGCCTCAAATCCCTCATCAATAAAAAAGAATAATGTTACTTTCTGTCCTTCACAAGGCTGTCTGTCAAGTTTAATTAATTAATATTTATAAAGTACTCTGAGATCCTTTGCTGCAGAAGAGCACAGCCGTACGTACCATTTGTCACCAGTACATTAGTTTTATTTCAATTCTTTGGTTTTATCCATAAATTTATACTAAAATCCATGTTGTTTCTTGCTGTTGACAGAGTTGTAATCACTTAAATTTAAAAGATGTTGCTTCGCACCATTCTGTCTGTAGCAGCATAGGACTTAGTATGTCTTATTTTTTTCCCCAAATTCTAACTGCAGGTTATAAACATCCCAAGGGTCCAAACATGACATTTTGTTCTGAAGAGTCACCCATATGACACAACTGCAAAATCAAGGCCAAAAATAAAACTGTAACAACTGATTTTATTTTAGATGCAGCAACAGCCTAAATGTGCAGTAGCCACATTTTGAGACTGCCTGGCCAAATCCTATCAGAGTTTTCACTGAAAGCTCCATTTTTAGAATACAATCTGCGAGAGTCACTGGCAGCTTTGCCTTTAACTTCTGTGAGGTAGGAAATTAAAGAACCAACTATCTCCACTCCTTAATGTACATATTACATTGTTTCAATTATTACATGATCCTATTTAGAGTTTTATATGGTTCTTTTTTTTTTTCATTTTCGGGTGAGAAGAAACCCGTGATGAGATGTGCATTTCTAGAGAAGCAACAACAACAACTTTGTAAGATCATAGTCTAACACACTGAAGTTATTCAGAGCTCCAAATAAGCTTTGCTAACTTGCATTGTCCTAGAGCATATTATTTTATAGCACTGCAGTTGTTTAAAAATCAAACATCCCTAAAGAACCATAAAATGTACAGCTGCTAATAAGTATAGCACACTACAATTACACTCTTCAAAAAAAAAAAAAGCCAAACTGACCTTTTTCATTTTGTTGCATGGGAGATTAAAATATCAGGCAAGTAATAAGGACTGCTTAAAGTATGTGATGATGCAAAGTAATTATCAGTTCTAATGCTATTTAAGGTCCTATACCAAATTTGTCTTGCAACAGAGCTAAAAAGCCCTGCTCCAAGTAAGGCAGGCATAACCTTCCAGCAGAGCCCGCTCAAGTAAGAAACACGCACACACTCCAAGATTTCCTTTCTTAAACCCTTCACATCCCTGTTTCTGCAAGCCACTCTTCTAGTATCATTATTAAAGTGCCTAATATATTTCTGTTATTCGCTTCATTTATTACATGCCATAATGGGGCTGCATATCTTTAGTGTTGGTTATGCACAATTAGCACTTAGTTATTGTCTTGTCACTTCAGCCCATACAAGACAAACTTCTTTAATGTAAGAAGTCAGCTAATCTTCATCAGTCAAGCAGAGGAGACAATGTTTGTTACCCTTAGCAGGAAAGATTTTCATCATAGTTAGTACTCTTGGATTTGAGGAAATGAACTTTTTTCTCTCTTCCCCAAAATACTAAGTTGTTGTGATCATTTTTAATGTTCCTCTTTTGCCATGACGGGTGTGAACTAATTTACAGTTTCACTTTGCAGCTAATATACACCGTATTTTGTCCTGAGGCCACTGATTCTCACCAGAAAAAAATCTGTTAGGTGCTTCTCAAGTGTGACATTCCAGGAATATTTAATAATTCTTAGCCTTCAGTTTAGGTTCCTGTTTGATTTTTATCTTTTAGCTTGGACAAAGGTTGCTGAGATAGTCTTATGAGAGTCCTAGATCAGGAACACAGGAATTAATTTATCTGAAATGCAATTTAATTCATCTAGTCAGAATGGTGAGTAGATCCAGAAGTTTCAAAGAAATTCAGGAATTATTAAATTATTAAATTAAAATTAAATTAAAAATTTAATTTTTAAATTCCTGAATTTAGGATTTGTGATGGCTATCAAGGAACCTAATAAACCAGGCCGCTTGCAGGGTACATTTCTTTCTCACATTTTGGAGATATTATATACTCTCTACAGTATTTATTTGGTTGTTTTTTATAAAATCTCCTGTTTCATGGATACTCCAACTTAGTTCTTCTGTGGTTCTTATGGGAAAAAATTCCGTTGACTTTCCATTCTGTCATTAATAAATGGCTTTAAATCTTCTTTTTTTTCGTTACTCATTTAATAGCAAAAAATAGAAATTGTGGACATTTGACCCCCTGCCACTGATTATATATATATATATATATAATTATATATATATATTTACATATCTGCTATGAAATCTCTTTCCTTTTAAACTGAATAATTTTGTTAGTCACCACACAATTAATAATTTTCATTGGGCTTGTCAGGATCCTCTGTTCTTCCTCTACTTGAGAGAGGGTAATCAAAACCAAGCAGGAGGCCAAAACCATCCAAGTGGGGATGAGTTTGTAAAATAACAGTTTAATTTTGAATTTTGTTTCTTTATTCTATGCTTCCTCTTGTATGCAAAATGTTCCTGAGCTGACTTTTTAGATCTACTCTTCAATCTCACTCCAGTCAATATCTCTAATGAGATACACAGAAATATTTTTATATATAAACACATGAGCAATATCCAAACCAATAATGGAGCTAGCAGAACTCAACCACCTATTGCAAGATGTATGTATTTGACCCTATTCCCCACCTTCACTTTCTTTTCCCCAATTAAATTTTAAATTCCCTGCATTCTTTCCATTCCTTGGCATTCTCTCCACTGGGAGAAGAGCAACATATTTGGAATACTATTGTAACATATGCAATAGTTATTGCCTACTATTTAGATTTTTCCTAATGGAAGATATGCAGCGTTCATGAGGAGGCTATAGTGTTTCTTCGGTTGGCATTACATTGCACTGCCCCAGCCGTGGATTTCTCCTGCCACTCTCTCTCTGCTTGTTTGGAACTCCTTCTGGTGCCTTGTGCCTTCCCAGCTGGGAAATAATTACATTAACTCACAACGCATAGATCCTTGGGGCAGGCAGATCTTTATCCTTGCTATCATATGACCCTTATGTTTTTGCCCTTTAAACAGCTGATCTTGGCCTGTCAACAGAGGAGCCTGTCCGTTGCCTTTGCTTTTCATGAGAAAAACAAAAGATTTTTCTCCTTTTCTTGGTTGTTAGACCGCCTTGAATTCAGGGGACTTTGGTTCAAGCCATAAACTCCCTAACTAACTAACATTTAATGTATCTGTCCCTTTTTATTGGCCTCCAGAAGGCTAGATTTTCAAAGTGAGAGGAAAACCTGCTTGCCTCTCCTGTCTCTCATGTTGTATGCCAGAAAGAGAGGACTGGAAAGGATCTCTTGAGCTGCTCAGTCTAGTCCCTGGTATGAAATGAGCACTATGTCATATTTTCTCTTTCATAAAGCTATTCAACTCTAGAATCTAACTGCTCCATGCAGGCAGTTTTTGCCATATGCTTTCTTTCCTTTTGCTCCTGCTACCGGTGTGTAAAGCTGTGGGGATTTTGTGAATATTAAGCTCTACTCCTAGTTTAAAGATTTGTGCTTCCCCTTGTCTTTCATGTCTCTGTACAGCTTCCCCCTAATTTGAAGAGTTTTTCCATCTCCTGAATGCCCACATTGCTTAGTGACAGTCATCTTAATGGTTTGAATGCTCCCCTTTCTGCTCACTATTTAACATCTCAGAAGCACTTCACCTCACTTTGGCAGCTCCCTCAATGTAGGTTGACTTCTGTAGAAAATTTAAAGGGAAAAATGGAAACCACTAGAAAGATAAACTTGTAAACAGACATTGCCTTTCACACTTTGTCAGGTTGCATGTGTGTGACTAGCAAAATGGAGTGGAAAATCTTGCAAGTAGGCTCAGCTGCATCTTTGCTTGACACTTTTGACTACAGTGATGATCTCAGTCTGCCTTCGGCTTTCCCACTTTCCTGAGTTTCTGTGACTTCTTTTCACTGTCTGTTGGCTATTTTAGCAGCTTGTTCCATACTTCTGCCATAATTCCGGTCTATATCCTGAAGTCAGCTTGAGATGTGGTTTAAAACCCCCCATCTGCTGCCATTGAGGGGTGTTTAAATCAATTCTTCTGGCCTCTATTTCTGTCCTGGCAAGAGGCTTTATTTTACTGGGCACTAGACTGAGAACGGTTACATGGTCATTCAAATCTCTGTCCTCATGGAGCTGTAGACACTTAGGACTTGTGTAAACTGCAGCGTGCCCGCACAATACCAGCTTTGTTCGCTATCAAGCAGGGGAGTTTGTGGAACGTAATGTTAGGGACATACTGATTTCAAACACTAGCATTAGATCTTTCTGTCTATGTTCCTCTCATAATTTTTTTAAGACTTTTACTTTCACTGATCACCTCTACATTTAGAATAAAATATAAATACATTTTCCATACCAGCTTTTGTAAAAATAATAATTGAAAAGCTTACCAAGTTGAGATTTTTCATCTTAAGCTGAGCTGGCTTACCATTTACCTAGGATTCTGTGTATTTAATTCATCTTACTGATGAAAACTTAGAAGCCTACTCACAGCTTAGACTTTCCAGCCTTTGATAATAAATGGACATTTTGACAGAACCCTAAAATTAGTAAAATACAGGTGTGGACAGATGATCTGTGAAGTAAAAGAGTGGCTTTGTTCTCTCAGTAATGCATGTAGATTAGCATTAATTTGAGTTAGACTGGAAACTCAACTGAAAAAAAAAAGAAAGGAAAGGAAAGGAAAGGAAAGGAAAGGAAAGGAAAGGAAAGGAAAGGAAAGGAAAGGAAAGGAAAGGAAAGGAAAGGAAAGGAAAGGAAAG